CGGACTAGATGGTCTACTCAGGTCCCTTCCGACCCTAGAAACTATGAAACTAAGTCTCTTTAGGAGTGCCTCAAATCCTAAAAAGGCTGTGAACCACTGCCTTAGATACTGATCTTCTGTAATAAAGATTTTGTATTATCTCTCATGTACTGTCCAAGCCTTTCTCCTTCTCAAGAAGACTAGGAACAGAGCATATGACCTTTCTTCTATCTATAGCTTGGCTCTAGTGTGTCAGAGGTCTTGTCAGGTCTTGTCATGTCTGTTTTTTCAGAGCAGCTTAAGCGGCAGAAATTACCTTGCCTGGGGCTAAGAAAGGCCCTGACCTTTTTCACTGTGTATCCAACAGGAGAGCTGTGAGCAGGCCCTCCAACACCAGCTTCTGGACCAGCAGTTTTTCCTACTGCAATGCACTGTGCAGGAGGCAGAGCAGATGGTGCAGGACTCCCTGAACCAACTCAGTGACCCCGCTCACATCAGCTGCGTGAGCTCCACAGGTAACAGCTGTCTGCCTTGCATCTGGGGCTGGGTTTGTTCCTTACTGAGGAAAAGACCTATGACCTTTTCCTCTGGATGTATCCAGCTATACTTACCTCCTAAGGCTGAAAGTCAGGGGCTGCTTGCACACCAGGTGTCAAAGCACCTCTGTCCTGGTGCAGGGCTTGGGGGCACTAAGGACTGATTACAGATTGGAGCCAGGTGCTATGGTGGGGCTGGAGGAGCTATCACTCTATTGTAGCCTTTTGCTAGATGCATTGCTCTCCTAGAACAGTTGGTGGTACACTTTTTCCAGGGGGTTGGCTTGGCCCAGTACCAGCAACGCAGCTTCAGTAGACATAAACCACACTCACATTAAGTGCATTTACCTGGTGTTTCATGATTGGGTTTCACTGGAGAAGCTGCCATGTAAAGGGAACTCACAGATGCAGGAGCATGACTGACTTCACATGCAGCACATTTACTCTTGTAGCCTATGCCCAGGAATCTTTTGCTGGCCTACCCTAAAATCCTCAGCCTGGAAGGAGATGGGCATATCCCCGATCACAGAAAACATGAGTTAAGGGTGCACAGGGAAGGCATGGCCAGTGATTGGGTGCTCCCTGGTGTTCTTTGTTCTCACTCTGCCCCCAGACTGCAGGCAGGGGTGGGGTGACCTTCCTTTCTTGTATGAAGGCACCTACCCCCAATTCTGGATTTGCCAGAGGTGACTTACCCCAAGGACTCATAGTAGCACAGTTGAAGGGTCAACAGTGCCATTGGAAAGAACCCAGGAGCATCAAAGTCCAGTAATTCCCCAGTATCTTCAAACTATGAGGCCTTTTTCCCCAAGCCTTCTCACTCTGAAGGACCTTCAGTTGCAGGAGCAAAATGCAGTGAGCTGGAGTCCTAGTTGTCCTGCATGCTGCCTGTCCCTCTACTTGGCAGGAAGATAATGATGTTTAATTAGGAAACCAAAAGACTTGAGTCCCTTGTTACTGCCCTCTTCCTTTGCAGCAGTCCCTACCCACTCAGGAATGGGACACTATTACAAGCTGTGACAGAGGATCTCTGTGGGACCCCTGTCAAAGTCCTGGCACATTTCAGTGGGTTGGGGACAAGTCTTCATGCAGGTGTTCACTCTGCCCACAGCTTCTCAGGCTAAGTAGTCCTTTCACAGTTTCCTTAACGTCTTTTTTTTTTGTGCACAGATTATCTCCTGTCCCGAACACTGGCTGCCTCTGACTGTATAGAGCGGCTTCAGAACACACATGGCAAATACCTATCCAGCTGCACAGGTGAGAGCTGAGTAGGCAGCAAGGCAGTGCCTGTGGAGGGGGAGAGTTCTGTGCACCATCCTTGGCATACTGCTGGAAATGGACCAGCAAAGGATAAGCCAAGCTTTAGAAGGACAGGCTGAGGGTCATAATGTACAGGGATGACTTTTGCAGGATCCAGCATCCCTCCTGAATGCTCCCACCCAGTCTACTGAGCCAAGCCTCAGACCTTAGCCATAGGGTCAGCTGTGAAGAAGGTTGGGACAGGAGGGCCTGCTCTCAAGTGAGTGTCTATGGAGCAGGCCAGTGCTGTGACCCTTCCTTCCTGAATAGCATTAAAGCAGGGGTGGACAAAATCCAGCTTGTGTTGGATTCTGTTTCCCAGCAGTCCCTGCAGCAGTGGCTCCTTCTATCTGCCCTGTACCCATGCAGGCAGGGTGCGTGGCTGGTGGCTGGGATGGGGCCGCACCTGGGAGTGAGATGGGCAGACGGGGCTGGGGAGACTCTGGGGTCTTGGGGCGGTGGCAGTGTGGGGCTGGGACTAGGACAGAGATGTGATCCACTGCTCACATGCCCCTGCAACATGAACAGGTTCTGTGAACAGGCATGCAGGGAGCAAATTGTGGCTTGGCCCCCCCAGCCCCATGCTGTCACCTCCCTAAGATCCAGCTCCCTGCTCAGCTGTGCACCCTGCCTGTGTGGCTCCCAGCCAGTCTCCATGGAGACCCCAGGATCCTGGAGCTGTGATACTGCAGGGGCAGGGGCAGAGCGCTAGTTCTGTGGCCCTGCACTGTCATGGCCCTGTGATCCTGAAGTCTCCATGGAGACTGGCCAGAAATCTCGTGGGCAGGGACTACTGGGAAATGGAATCCAACTGCAAGCTAGATACTCCATTTTGCCCACCCCTGCACTAAAGCAACAACAGCTAAAAGCAAGCAGCTCTTGGCTCTGCTTCCTGTGACTCTCCAGAATGCCTCTGTTAGAGATCTTTCCCAGAGCAATTCCAGTAGAGGTGAAGGGAAACTTGCAGTGTGGAGGCTGGGCTGTTGCTCCTGGAGCCCAAATACTGCCTGGCTGCATGTATCTTGTGTGACTGGCACCAACATAACCCTGAGGGCAGTGCCTGACACACAGGATACACACCCATTGCTGACATTACCCCAGAAGGGGGACGCTACGTTGTAGCTGCGTGAGCTTTGAGGGCTGTGTTTACACCCAGCTGTGATGACTTATGGTGTTAGGAAGGTTTCTTCCTCAATTCTTCAGGGCCATGTCTCACCTAGTTCTGGGACTCTTGCTTCCCTTTGGTACTTAATTGGCAGGGAAGACACTGGTGAAACCCCTGTGTTGATTATAGTTGTTGAGCTGAGCCTGTGTTCCTCACTTCCATCTGTCCTACCTTCAGATGTGAGCAGCCTGCTGCCGTGTGTGGCCATGTTTGCCCACCTGATCAGCGACACCATCTTGCAGGGCAGTGCTACTGCCCACATGGCTCCTTTGGAGCCTGCTGACCGTAAGTATCCTTGGCAGGAGGGAGTTGTGACTGTTCCCACTGTGTGCATGACACTTCAGCTGCTACATGCCTTTCTTGACTGCTTTCAGTTCTGTTGGAGGCCTGCAAACAATGTGGGAATGAGGCTCTTCATTACCTCAGTGCCCTAAAAGACAAAGCATCCCTGGAAAATGCTGACTGCACACCTGTGAGAAACTGCCTGAGCAGAATCAGTGCCATTGGGGAGGTAAGAAGCCAAGGGGCTCCCCAGGACTGGTTAGAAGCTGAGATACTTCCCTGCTCATCATCCATAAATCTGTCTCTGAATTGAAGGGCCTCTGTTACATGAGATAGGTGCAGTCTGGGACCAGGGCAGAGGTGACTGGCTGCTCCAGGGAGAAGAGCACACATGCAAATAAAAGATTGGAATGATCCCTTTTCTGTGGTGTGGCCTGGGAAGGACTGCTTTTGGCAGCTTTACCTGCTACTGGCGATACAGTGGGGTCTGGTTAGAGCAGTGGACTGGGAATCAAGATTTATAGATTCTGTCTCTGACAGAGCCACTGGCTCTCTGGGTGATCTCATGCAAATGTCTGTCCTTCTTTGTGCTTTGTGCAACATGGGCCTGCTGACCTTGGCTCATGTACTGAGTGTTGGGAGGCTGTGGCAGCATCTGTGAAATGTTCCTCGTTCCTGAACTGAGAGGTTGCTCAGGTTGTTCACTGTTCCTTTGTCTTCTCACCCCAGGAGCTGCAACCCAAAGGCCTGGATGTAGAGCAGGAGGAGCTGGGGGACTTGGTGGACAAGGAGATGGCAGCTACTTCAGCAGCCATAGAAATAGCCACTGCCAGAATAGAGGTGAGGGGGACAGAAGGGCCTTGACCCTTGCACAGCTCCACTCCCTGCAAACCCCACCTTGAGTGCTGACAGCAGAACCCTGGCGCCAAAGCTATGGCAAAAACCTTCCGGTGCTCTAGACTTCACATGGGAGGCTCTCCCCAGACAGCAGCTCTAGCAGCCAAGCAGCATTCATGCTGGCTCAGTTCTTTCCCTGCATTCTCATGCACTGTCAGAGCCATGTTCCCGCAGAACTGATTGACCATTCTCAAAGTGAACAGGGGCTGTATGAGGTGGCAGTCTGGGCTAAGCCCACCACTCACTGTGGCATGGCAGAAGAATCATCTGTTTTGCCCCCTCTCCAGCCCCTCTCCCCTTCCCACACACAAATCCCAGAGCATGAGGTAAAGGCACCCCATGTGATCAGAAGGTGGGATGAGGGTCACAGCTTCTGTCATTAGGGGACATACTTGGAGTTGATGATATGAAAGGCTTTCCTGGATCCTACGTAGCCAGACTAGGGGACTCTGGGATACATTTACCCTGATTACAGTGCTACAGTATGGCTCTCTCCCTCTATAAACAGGATATGCTCAGCAAGTCACGGGCTGGAGACACCGGAGTCAAACTGGAGGTCAATGAGAGGTTGGTATAAAGGAAAGATCTGTCCCTTCTTATGCCTGCATTCAGAGTATCTAGAGGCTGGGAGTAGCTCTGAGCCCAGGCACTCCAGGGTTCAAATGCTGATGGCCATACAGTTGCAAAGAGACAGCAAGTTTCATAGTTAGTAGGGTTGGAAGGGACCTGAGCAGATCAAGTCCAACCCCCTGCCATGGCAGGAAAGAGTACTGGGGTCAAACGACACCAGCAAGGTGATTGTCTAGCCTTGTCTTAAAGACCCCCAGGGTAGGAGCCAGCACCACTTTGCTTGGAAGTTGGTTCCAGATCCTAGCCGCCCTGACAGTGAAGTAGCGCCTCCTGATGTCTAATCTGAATTTACCCTCTGCCAGCTTGTGACCATTATTTCTAGTCACTCCTGGGAGTGCTCAGGAGAACAGGGACTCCCCCAATGCCTGCTGGTCCCCTCTGACTAGTTTATAACAGGCCACTAGATCCCCTCATAGCCTTCTCTTGTGGAGGCTGAATAGGTTCAGGTCC